GGGCAAGGAAGCCTTCTCAGAAACCCACGAAGCCTGGCCCCAAACCAGCCAAACCCCCCTCTTTCTCGGTTAAGCCCCTTACTGATAAGAAAATAGGCCTCACCATGCGTAAGTGTCGGCTCATCATCAAAAGAGACCCTGCCCCCCTTACCTCTACTGCTGTACACCTACGCGACAGCATCAACCAGGTCCTAGCCTCCACTCTCATCCAGTCTGTCTCCTTCCGGGATGAACATGTTACCCTTACCACGATGGACACAGTTAGAGCAACCACTGTTAACAGCAAAGTTGGCACCTTTTTGCACCTCACTCCTGATGCCTCTACCATCTACCTTGACACACCTGCCACCCAGTTTCTGGTACATGACATCGCTACCTCCACCTCTATGGTATCACTTGCCCAAGAACTCTTAACATTTAACTCAGCCTTATCTCTTACCGAGCAGCCTAGGTGGCTTACCTTTGATCTAGCACGCAATGGCAAACTGGCCTCAACCGTAGTTATTTCCATCACTGGACCCAAGGCTCCTTTCTTCGTTGGCAAACACCTCTCTGCCTTCTCCAATACCTACCGAACTGAGTGCCGCCTACACTTCAACAAATACACTCACTGTGCCAACTGCCATAAGTTTGGTCACCATAATATCAAGTGCATCCTGCCTGCATCCTGCTGCTGGTACCTCCTCCCTCACCCTACTGGGGACCACTCCTGCCCCACTGCTACCCGCCATCTTCGCGGCTGCCCCTGCAGCCATGCCACACTCAGGTGTGTGAACTGTGATGGCCCACACTAATCCCACTCGCCTGTTTGCCCTTCTCGCCCCCATCCAGATACCCAAGAATCTGAGGCCTTGGAGGAGCATGAAGAAGAGGTAGACATGGTTGGCGCGGCATAGGTTGGGATACCTATAACAATAATGCCCTAGGGGTGTCTCGGGTTGGCTATTGTGATGCAAGGGGTGTGGCTGTTAGGCATATCTCGATTGATTGCTTAGGGGAAATTGGCTTTGTACCAACCCTGTGTCATGGTCCTTTTAAGAAACAGTACCGGAACATTTTCCTAGGTGTCGGGTGGGGTTGATTTTGTTGGATTTATTTTGTTATGATATTATGAGGATTTTAGATGTGAGGCTGGGGCAATGCTGCCAGTGGTAGTGATTTATTGATTGTGCTGGGATTTCCGTGGCCTGGCCAGGTGGAGCGGATGGGTGCTGAACTGTTGATGGACTTGTACTTTAGCTTTGGTGTTGGTCCTCGCTCACTGGAATGGTTAACGGTATCGGAACGGAGGATCGGTATCTTGTATTTAGTTACCTGTTTTTAGCGGGAGTAGCAGGGCCCCAGTCCCATCAGTGGATCCTGGCCGGCATTAAGCTCCTGTCTGGGGGACGCTCGATCATAAGCCATGTTTTAGCGCGAGGAGTATAAATAAACTTAGATCTTATTCCGACAACTGTACCTAGGAATTACACTCTCTATCATCTGGCGTCCTCTTGAACCCCTGAACCTTGACCCTGAACTCCTGAATCCCGAGCCTTGTACAACTCACTTCGGTTGTACCCCTACACCTAGATTGTGTCTCCTGTATCCTGCCTGTCCTGATCGTAGTGTGCCTTGGGCTGCCCTATCCTCAGACCTTGCCTGTTACAGTCTGCCTAGTCTATTACTTGACCTCATGGTCGCATGTATGATTATAGACCTAGATTGCCATATCTTAT